TGAATGGGAGGGTCGGGCAAGAGGGGAGGGGTTGTGGTGGTGGGAAAGGGGAAGAGGAAGGGGCAGAAGGGAAGGTGACGGGGACGGGGAGAGGTGGAGAGAAGGGGTGGGAAGGGAGGTGCGATTTTTTGTTGGGAGGGGTTTGTGGGGGAGGGGGTAGAGGGTTGGGGGGTGTAGTTGGGCCAGAGGAAGGAGAGGCAGACCAAGAGGGAGAAGTTGGAGGAAGGATAGTCAAAGAGGGGAGCGGAGGGGAGGGGGGATGGGGCAGAGTGGGTGGGGGAATGGGACAGGACAGGACAGAATGACAGAATGAGATAGGACATGCAGGAGGGGGGGGGAAGGAGGGGGAGAGTTTGGATCAGCAGAAGGGGATAGTAGAAGTTGGAGGAAGAGGGGGGAGATGGGATAGAGATAGGATGCAGGAGGTGTCATTAGTATCTCAATAATATTACCATAGTGAAAATGTGAGCAAATTCGACTTATAAACGAGATCATTGTAACAAAGAAAGCAATTGCTCTATAGAAGACCAAATCAAAGAACTTACGAAGAGTGAAGGAATATAACGGAAAACTGTTTCCTCCTTCCCAGATTTTCGAGACTCTGACAGAATCATAACAGTCAGGAAAAATGAAGGGCTATCTGAGGCAAAACTCGTATGGCCTATAGAGGAAATCTTAAAGATATGACATTTATAATATAGAGCTCAACCCCGACTAAAGAACACATAGTCTAAGCTCTTATAAATACAATAGCAACACAGAAACAGTGCATTGTGTTCTGAATAAAAATATGTAATATCTAATTAAACTAAAAACAGATATTACGACATCAGCTGACATTTGAATGAGATTAAAGATTAAATCTCTCTCAAACTGTTCCTGATTTAAATGTAGCAGACGACAAAAGGTTAACAAACAGCACAAGTGTAGCAGACGACAGGATGGTACATACCGGTGCCCAGGTATTCCTCTTGGCCTCTCGTTTCTCGATGACGTAACCCTTGAGGTCACATCCGCCCAGGTCAGAGGGCGCGTCCCAGGCAACGGCGATGCTGTCCTTGAGGATCTCCATCACTCGCAGCGCTTCCGGTTTGCCGGGCTTGTCTGTCATGAGAGACAAACAAACAACAGTACAGTGTCACTGTTACTATTATTGTCACTATCATTGTCACTGTCACTGTCACTATCAGCATCATCGTCATTGTCATTGTCACTATCACTATCATTGTCATTGTCATCGTCACTATCATTGTCACTGTCACTGTCACTATCAGCATCATTGTCATTGACATTGTCATTGTCACTATCATTGTCACTGTCACTGTC